GGGGTCCAAGATTATCTTCTGTGTCTGTGTTAATTGGTTTCCCTTTTCTTTGTTGAAGAGGGTCTGTGCAATCCTTCTGCCTAGTCCGCCATCTTGCCACAGCAGTTCTAAATTAAGTTTTAAAATAACAATTTCGAAAGACTTTTTATCTAAGATGTTAAGTTAGAAGTGGTGTTTTCAATTTGTAAGTTATAGTTAATCGAAGGAATGGTTAATGTTTAAAACTATACACTAAAAATATCTCGCATGCCCACTAGTCTTTTGCAGTGCTCCATTCCCTGTATATTCTGCCCTAAACATATTTGGGGAAGAATATTGATTATATACTTTCCATCTTCTCTCGTTTCATTCCTGATACTTGTGGAGTTTGTATGCAGTCTACCTTTAAAGGAGTGATTCTGATAAACCAACTCAAAAGAGTGTGCTGTGTTTTCAACATAGAATATTTCTCTTAAGCATCATTTTTTCTCTAAGGCACAGCCTTTAGGGAAATACTTCTTTTTCACATTCTTTTGGATCTAGATTTGTTAGATAAACTTTGCTGTGTATCCATAGTATCAGCGGAGAGAACATGCTGTAGTTTGTATATTTGTTGAAATGTATGCTCACGTGATGGCAAGCTTTAAGTAAGTTCATTGTTTCATCATTTGGTCTACTTAAAAAAAAAATACTCATTTGTCATGCCTTCGTTTTATGAATACATAATCACAGCAATTGATATTCTATAGGATACAGTATATTTCTTCAGAATTTCAAAACTAGAAGGAATAATAGAGGTCACTTTGTCCAACCTCTTCCAACTTATAGGTGAGGAAATGGAAGCATATACATGTTCCTTGGTCTGTCCAGGGTCACAACAGCCAGGCATATGGTCTCTTGAGTACCAAAGCAATGTCCTTGTTGCTAAACTCCAGTTTCTCATGTCGCTAGTAAAGATCGTTAGGATGAATTTCACCTCTTTGTAAAATACACTGTGGTCAAAACTGTAAATTTATGTTTTGCATGTTTTTCTAGGCATATCTGTAGGTTTGGAGATAATGGAAGAAATAGGGGTAAAATGTGAAATAACAAGTTTAGCTATTATAAAAGAGAAATAGCAACATAGAATAAACAGGGAAGAGGATACTAAGGTGCTGACAGATGAGAGTCCACTGTGGGCATCAGTCACATCGGTCTTAGTCATCTACTGCTGCTGTAACAGAAATACCACAAGTGGGGGCTTTACAAACACAGAAATTTTTTCTCTCACAGTTGAGGAAGCTAGAAGTATGGAATCAGAGTGCTGGCTCTAGGGGAACCCTTTCTCTCCTTGTGAGCTCTCGAGGAAGGGCCTTGTCCCTCTGGGCTTCTGCTCCTGGGCCATCTTCATGAGGCTTGGCATTTCTCTTCCCCTATCTCTGCTTCTTTTGCTTGTTTAATCTCTTTTATATCTCAAACGAGATTTACTCAAGGTATATCCTATCCTAATCTTGTCTCATTAACATAACAAAGACAGTCCGTTCCCAAATGTTATTATTACCACAGACATCGAGATTAAGATTTACAACACATTTTTTTTTTTTTTAATTGTGATTTGGGTGAAAATTTACAGAGCAAATTCACTTTCCATGCAGCAGTTCACATACACTTTGTCTCATGACATTGACCACAACTTACCCCAGTGCAACAGCTGCCCTCCCACTTCCTCCTGGTAGTTAATACAACACATATTTTTGGGAGACACATCCTTTGGCAATCTCTCTAACTACAGTGATTTAAAGTCAGGATCCATAGGAAATAAGCCAGTAGAACCAATGTTAGTACACTTTCTTTTTTCATAATCGCCTCTTAGTTTTTGTATAAATTAAAGCATGCTAAACAATAGTATTTTTATTATTGACCTAGAGATAGATTTGAGAAGACTAGGGTGACTTTGGTTAATCTGAGCGCATTTTGTGCAAACCTGCACACGTTTTCCTAGTTGAAGTGTTTTAGCACAAAATATTGTTTGAATTGCCTTTGAGAAGACTTATTCACAGGTAGTTTTCATTAGCTCTTTGGGTTCAGCCACACAGACTTGTAAACATGCCCTAGCACTCTGATTTTTAATTTAAACATTTGGGCAACAGTCCATGTTTTCTTTGGACTTGGGACAGTAATTCCAGACTGAGGATGACCATGAGCGTGTGGTAGCCTTGTAAGAAATACTGCCCTTAGCTCAATCCTGCAAATGAGAACTGTTGCATGTTTACATATGTTTGTATTCTCCAGTCAAAGTCATGTCTTAACGTCTCTACTGTGATGAGCTAGTGACCTTTTCTGTTCTTATTTGCTCTACCTTTGTGGTAAAAAAAAAATCAAAGTAGTGTGAGTACTTACTAACAGGAGCTGCACCACACTTGTTGAGAGCTGGTAGGAAATCAGTGGATTTCCAATGTGGTTGTTTTGTGACTAAAATTTGTAAATAAAGGCAGTGACTTCATCCTTCTTTCCTGGCTTCTTAGCTATCTTTCTGTATAAGATGACATGTCTGCATTTTTGTTTTAGGAATCTCTCGAAGAAATACCAACCTAAAAAGAATTCGAAGGAGGAAGAAGAATACAAGTATGTCTACCCTTGATAATTATTGGGTAATATCTGTATGCCACTGATGATGATTATGAAGGGGAAGAAGAAATGCTATCAAATTGTGCTCACTGTTCATTGGTTGTGTCAGCTTTTGAATTAGAGGAGAGAACAATAAAAAAACATACCTAATTAACTTTTCTTACACAGCCACTAGACCTATTCCAGATGGTTTCAATTAAAGTAATTAGAAAAAGTTTAAAATACAATCTGAAGAAAAACAGGAAGTTTGGATTATGTATTCTAGAGGACTGATTTGGTTCTGTTATGTCAAAACCTACCATACTACTATTTGTCTAAGAAATGTTGATTTCAGCCAGCAATTAAGGCATTTTAAAATGGACAGTCCAAACATTATGTCTCTGCTGTAGATCTGAATGTCCATTATATTAGTACAAATAGTGTGTGCGTATAACAAAGGAGCTCTGGTAGCATAGTGGCTAAGACACTTGCCTGCTAACCAGACGGCTGGCGGTTCAAACCCACCAGCCACTCCTCGGAAGGAAGGTTGGGCA